CACATAGAGCCAGGATAGTGGAAAGTATTCATACCATCTGGCCTGGCTCTGCACATGCTCACTTTATTCCGCAAAATCACTTGAGTTTACTTATGGTATATGTATATATTTCTGGCTATATCACTTTTCTTGTCTGATTTAGGCTGTACCTATTCCATGAACATCATGGAAAAAGCCAGCACCAGATCAGTGTTTCTTCACACTTCTCTGGCTCGCTCTTGCTGTCTTTTAAAAATAGGGTTTCTTGGCCAACCATTGCACTATCTACAGTGAAAAATCTTTCTGGACTGATGAGGATCTGGACACATTTGTTGGTCTTCCCTACACAGATTCTCCCCCCTTGTCAAGTGGAGTAACCGGAGATCCCCTTGTCACTTACCAGTTCCTAGCTGCTGGGATGGTAGACCATGGAGAATCCTCATTGATTATGACCTAACCTGGGACTAGAACAGGGGTCCCCACATATGTGAGAAGTAGGGCTGTGGTGACACTGAAAATGTAGTGCAGGTCACCCCACATATGTCACAAACTACTTATGTACCGATGATACAACTCTCTATACCTATCCATTCAATATCTATATCTCACAAGTCCTGAACCTAGATGAGAAATTTAAAGACATCTGTACAATACAATACCAAGGAGAAAAATGTACTTCTCAAGTACAAATGCATGGGAGGAGTTATTGAGCATGGAGGTGTGTCGCCCTCTTATTGGTGGGAGACTTTGCCACATGAGTACGTCTTCATGCAGTAGTGCAATTCATATTAGTTTATGTGAAATTAGGGGTGAGTTTTCACAAGGCTAGTGGCTTGCAAATCTCTTTGGCAGAATGTGTGGAAGAGCTGAGGAAGACAGCTAAACTGTGTGAAAAGGTGAGTATCTATCAGAAATACACTTTGTGGTGAGAAAAATGTTAGCTTTACAGCTTGTTTACACAGAGTCATTTACCAATAATTTTTCAAGCTTTGATTCATCACTGAATACAGTATAATTGAAGAAATACACTTTCAGGTGAGGAAAATGTTAGCTTTACAGCTTGTTTACACAGAGTCATTTACCAATAATTTTTCAAGCTTTGATTCATCACTGAATACAGTATAATTGAAGAAATTTCCCAAGTGTAATTTCTCACTCTTTACATCATTTATTTTGAAAAAACAATGTAGTAGCAAATCAGAATTATGTTCCCAAACATCCATGTGAAAATAACTTATGAAAATACATAGCATTGTAATTAGTGTTGAAAGTTTTAATCAGTTATTCGTGAGTAGTGATTACATTTACTAGCACCATGTAAACTAATCGGAATTGGATTTTCTATTATTACTATTTTCCATTAATCAAACAATTAACAAAAAGTACACTAATATTGATTGTAATGAAAATAATTAACTAGTTGAAATTAGTTGTTCTGATTATTACCATTTTTGATTATTACAAAGTTTGATAAATTGCGGTTAGGGTTCTTGATTATTGAAGTAATCTAAATGTTGCCATTATGTTTGTTGTGAAATATAAAATTAGATAATGGGCTACCTGTGCTCTGCGGTATTGAAACCAGATTTTACCATTATGAGTTTGTTTTTATTCTTCATGTTTGATGAACTTTGAACCATCATGGCCTTGTGTTTCAGATGCAGGGCTGTATCATGATTTGATGATCCTGGGTTTGATTCCTATTGCTAACAAACTTGCTCACCTTGTCTTTGCATTAGTGTATTCTTTAATGTTGTATAAAAGGCACAGATCTAGGGGAGGAGGTCCAAGAGGATCTTGACCCCTACCACCTTTTTTTTACTAGAAATTAATAAGTGTATTCTGTAATGTTGTAAAAGTAGGTGCAAATCAAGAAGAGGTGGGTCTAGATTCCCCCCCCCATCATTTTTTCAGAAATTAACAAAACAAATAATGGAATATCCTTACAATTACAATATAGTACCAGAAAGAAACATTAAAATTATCATAAAAGTTTTTTTTTAGGTTTTTTGAAACCAACATAGCTGTAGTCTTCAAGAATCCATTTAAGTCCTCAGCAAGTATCTTTATTTGTATTTCATTCTCTGTTGTCTCTCTAGAGAATATCATATATGTGTTACAGACATGCAGGATAGCTTAGACTGAAATTATCAGTCCTTTTATCAATATCATGAAATACAAGATTTTTGGTAAAAGTTAATTATGTTTCTGAGGATTTTGTGAAATAGTCAGCCAATAATACAGTTTCTTGAAAATGTTACTGTGGCAGCAGTATGACAATGTACATGAACTGTTGAATGACTAAGGAATAGATTTTAGGAAAGTTATGACTTTAGGGTCAGATAGAGAGTAGTCAAATTCTTGTATCTTGTATATGCATACATTGAATAGCAAGTAAGTTACACAAGTATCTGCACAAGGAAACAGATAAATTTCAGTACTACAAGAAAACTATAAGTAGAATCTTCAAGCTTTTTAAATATTTTGTTGCGAAATACAAGTGTCCACAACAGCTACATAAAACTCTTGATGATGCAACTTCGAAAGTCTAAAGTAGCCATGTTTGATTAGATAGCTAAGTCTGACCGAAGCCACTGAAATAGTTTTCAAAACTGGTCCTGACAACATAGCATAAAGAAACAATGGTATGGCTGCAGGGTTGCTGAGAAGCTAAGCAGTTCAGGTATGTTCTTAAATGTGCTACCCACCATGGATTGG